TCTAGTTCCATTGTACCTGCTCTGATACAAAAAAAAAAAAAAAAAAAAAAAAAAACAAAGGCTTTCCAATTTTTGCTTAAAGTTAATCAAATAATACGTATAATCATGTCCTAAATGCTGGCTTATCTCAGTAACTATACAATTAAATACGCGTAATTTAAATCTAGGATTTACAACAAGGCCTAATCCATATAAGAATCGAATATCTAACTAATATTTCTCGTATTTTTTCCATCTTTGAAACAATTTTCATTAAGACATCATTATATCTATATTTAGTAAAAGTTTTAGAAATTTGAAGTAAAATATATATCGCTAAATTAGTAGTAGGATAATAAATACCACTTAATATATTAGTAGCATCATAAAAAACTTTAAGAAATGAATAAAAAAGTTCACAAACCGTCCAATTATCATAGTTGACAACTTCCTGCAGATTCTTCCGGTTGACGAAATCTGTAATTTGTCTTGCGTTTGACAAAACTTTTTCCAACATCAAGTAGGTGGAGTTCCAACAGATAGGCATCTCTGTATATAACTTCAAAGGTCGAACCAGTGGATCCTTTTGCTTACAATATTTGATGTATTCTTGCAATCTTTTATTGCTACTGCAACGATGAATCCGATAGCCGCGTGCACCTTTTCAATATTCGAATTTATAGCTTTTAAATCTGCTTTAACAATCAAATTGATGATGTGGCAAGCACATCTCTGATGAAAAAAATTTGTCTTCACCACGCGGATCCAATCTCTTTTCAAATAAAGACATAGTCGCGGTGTTAGCAGTTGCATTATCTAGCGTTAGCACTACAACTTTATCAGTTAATACATATTTTTGCAAAACTTCAAGTATTGTAAAATAAATAGTGTCATCATTATATGCAGTATATAATGGTCTAAAACCTATCATTTTTTGTTGTAAACCCCAACCATGATCTAAGTACTGTATTGTGATAGTTAATAAAAGTTGTTTTTTGATCTACAAGCTCATATATTTGAAGTAAGTGCAATAGATATATTCCTAAAATTTTGAAATTCATTTTAAAGTTGAATATTTATTTGGTTACGAAGTTTTAGTATGTCTCTTCTACTTGTACTTCTACTAACAGGGGTATATGTTGGAACAAAAAATAGTTTTAATGAAATTAATAAAAAAAGGATTTTTAGATAAAGAAAGGGGAGAGTCTGTAGCAACTATGTATTTTGTTATTTCCTCTCGTGCTTGGAGTGTATTGTATTGTCATATTGACAAAGTTGAGGATTGTGGATTAAAATTAAGTTGAGTTTGAATTTGCTTACTTGGTTTAGTTGAAGATAAACCAAACAGCTTCATTATTTAGGGGTGCTTCTTCTCCAAATGTCGTCGCATCGTCGAAGTCTCATTCTTAGCGCCGATAACGGTTCCACAGAAATTACATACCCGCACGATTCTTCCCTTTCCCTATTTGCCTTTCCCGTTTTGATTTAGTGAAGTGTCGCCATACATCGGACACGACCCTCTTTGATGGTCGGGGGTGTTGGGATATGGAGTCGCAGCTCACTTGTGTTTGGTTGCACCTCGTCCCGGCTGAATGTGATTGTTGTTGAATTGCAGCTGCTGCCTTTGGATATGGGGAAAATGGATTGAACCTTTTCATTTCTTCGATTGATGGGACGTAAAACTCATTTGACCATTCCATTATGAATTTATGATAAAAATAATAAATAATTAAAATTAAAAAAATTAAATAATAATATGAATAAGAGATGATATTGAAAAATAGAAAAAATTGAATAATATGAATAAATTATAAATTATAAATATAAATATAAATTGAATTGAAGAAAATATGAATAAGAATAAGATTGGAGTAGAGAGATTTAGAGAATGAGAGATTAAGAGTTGGTGTGAAAAAAATTGGAAGTGTGAGGGATTATTTATAGTGTAGGACCGTTGGCAGCCAACGGCCATGTACTGTATTAATTGTTTTTTTTTTTTTTTTTGTAAACTATCAATTTAACCCTTAATATTTTTGTCAATTTAAAATTATCAAGAGTTTTTGGATATTTTACAAAGGACTGTTTTAAAATTAGGCCTTGGAAGAGGGCTTAATCAAGGGATCGGTCCTAGGACCAGTCCTTTGGGCCGGGTTTTTGGGACCATTCCCAAATGCCCAGGTCTAGTTCCAATATCACAATTTCCAGTAGGTTAGATCATCAAACCAAGCTAAATTGTAAAGGTTCAAGTGAGACGAAATCTAAACAAGATTTGGCAACATTTATAGACTACCTTAACAATAATATCGACGAGCGAAGGTCGAGTGAAGTGCGGCTGACAATAAATGCGCAGACGGTGGAGACGACAAATGCGTAGACGGTGGAGTCGAGAAGCAGAGCAGCTTGAGTAGGTCGATCAAAGGACGGAAGGAACGAAGAATTTTGAAGAATTAGAAGTGAAATAGAGGTTTTGTTTTTAGGGATTTTATTGACTCGTTTAGCCATCGGTCCGATTGACCTGGCGGTTACGTACTATTACGTCGGTTCAAACCCGGGTCAATCCACATAATTTTTGAAATTAGGTTTAGAGTGTCCCCGAACCGGAGAAAGGGCTAGTTCCCAGTTGAACTAACCGGTCTGGTTTGGGTTTTAAAACCTTGTTTATAATAAATCCAATATGGGCATTCTATAAATAATATCTACGATAATTTTGTTCTTTCATTTTCCTCTTTCTACTCCCATTTTACTTTAAAATGAGTAATGTAATTTTTGTAGAAAGTTTCACTTTCACATACACTGTTGAAATACTTATGAATATTCATGTATAAGTGTCTAATAAATCTATATTTAAAGATCATAATTCAACGGAATGTTGATCAATACAAAAGATGTGTTTGGTTAGGGTTTTGGAAAGATAACTTCGATAATCTATCTTTAATTCTAGACATTCTTTTGTTTGGTTGTCAAGTAATAAAAAATTTCGGTAATCTTTCAATACCAATAGTGATTACTGTAGGTTAAATAGGGAGTAATCAAATTACCTCATCAAGGGGTGGTATTAATTTTATACCTAATTTTCCCTTAATTAAATACCATTCTGGACACAATTGTTCTCAAATGTCTACCAAATAACAAAACTTAAACCCCTAACATTTTAGAATTTAGTAAAACACTATAGCCACAAAAAGTTTAAAAGTTAAAATAAAATTCCCCAACCACCAAGGCCATTGCCAACCACCAACCACCACCGTTGGCCATCGGAAATAGTCACCATATTGACGCACGACAGACGAGATCTCGCCGATCGTGCACTGATTTGGTTATTTCCGACTAGATTGAAGGCCGAAAAAAGCCAGATCCCCGTGGATCTGGATAGAAACGACTAGAATAGATCGATCATTTGTGGCCATTTTCAACCAGATCCATGACGATCAAGTTGTTTTCGGCCTTCAATCTGGCCGTTTTCAACCAAGTCCACAATGATCTAGCTATTTTCGGCCTTCGATCTAGCTAAAAACAGCCAAAACGGCACACGACTAGCCTTATCTCGTCGGTCGTGTGCCATTTGATGACTAACGCCAGTGGCTTGCAGTCGATGGTGGTCTTAGGTGGCTGGAGGTATTTCATTAAAATTTAAACTTTGTTGTTGAGAGTGTTTTAGCTAAATTCTCAAATATAGGGGGTTAAAGGAGTTTATTTAAATAATAATAATAACAATATAATAATAATATTATTATTAAAAAGGAAGGGCAATTCAGTAAAAGCCTCTATTGATAATATTTTATTTTCCCCAACCAAACATCTTAATTATTTATACCCACTAATCTAATCAACCATATTAGTATAACATTCTCCCGTAATCTTCAAGGTAATATATTTCGGAGGTAATCCTATCTTTTGAACAATAAAATATTCTCCGAACCAAACGCACCTAAATAGTTGTAGAATAAAACAAGATATACAAACTTCTTATAACAGATTTATATATACAAATTGATCTGACAAGAATGAATAATTATGTATAAGAAGTCGAAACAAAGGGTTATTTTACATCTCTTTTATCTACAAGAGTTTAATTATTTAATTTGCATATGTAGCATATGTAATTCTAAAATTTACCCTTCCCTTCTTATTCTCTTCCCATTTTTTATTTATTTATATCAAATGTAACAATTTTGTTAAAATCAAACTTATTTTTAAAACTTAATTTGTAGGAACTCTAAGAGAGAAAAGTAAAACGATATATAAAAATTCGATTGGAGCAGCTGGACAATCAGTGACCTATTGTCAATAAAAAAAGAAAACATGAAATAAATAGAATTCCTTATGAAATAAATAAAAAAAGAAAACATAAGAATAATAGAATTAATACCATGAAGCACCTATGGATAATTTCTTCTCTTTGAAGTTTCCTTATATATCAAAAGAAATAAAGAAATAAATAAAATAATAATAATTGTCAGTTGACTTACAAATTTGCTCAGCAAATTCATTTGGCACAACAAAGTCCACAAGCAAAACTCCAGTCAAACCTCCCGCGGTTCTCCAATTTCCCAAGTAGGCTTCCGCAAAACTCCCTCCATTACAATATTTGCACCGCAATTGCTTCCATAAATGCAAGCCCTGAGAGTCTTTGTTTCTGTACCAGATGAAAGATGAAGGCATATGCTATTGCATTGATTGCCTGCGGCTATGCGGTTACAGCAATTCTACTTATATTTTGTCTCTGCAAAGTAGGCCGCAAAAAGAAAGATGTTAAACTTCCCACACCTGTGAATAATAGAGCTAACAGTGCACCTTACCGTACATACCCTGAAGTTAAAAGGATTCAATTTCAGGGCAGTAGTGGCGCAAAAGATGGCAGAACAAGCTGGAGTGGCACTAGCTGCTGTAACCACTACAGCTACTGCAGCTTTGCTTAAGCAATGGCGGAGGGGGAGGCAGCTGTGCAAGTGGTGGTGGTGGCAGTTTCAGGGGTGGTGGTGAAAGCAGTGGTGGCTGTGGTGGTGGTTTTGGGGGATGTTAAGTTATGCAGCAACTGTTTTTTTATATATAAATAAAAGCTGTGGCAAAACTTGTTGATTTTCTTCATTTTGGTTTTCCCCCAAGTGCTTGTACCCTATCAGGCACGATATTGACATTTCTTAAATTGTGATCCCAACCTACATAAATGGTATAGAATAAGATTGTGGGAATAATAAACCTATTGTAAGTAAAAATTATACAAGTTTGTTCCGAGACTTTAAGGAAGAGAAACTTACTATACTTTTATACATATTTGTTCCAGAATCCAGTATATTGATTGATGCGTTCTCCATGTCTCATTTCCTTTCTTTCCATGTGAGAATAGCAATAATACCAATTGTAACTTTAAATACTTCTAAAATTTACTGAGCATACAACGTTAAGGGTATTAACAGACCTTGATTGATTGCAATTGTCATTGTAAGCAGATAAATACAACTTCTTTAACTAGAGATAATCTGCAAAAAGCAACCGCAAATAACAAAGATAGGTCAGTTATAGAATATCATGGAAAAAGGAGCATCAATAAAAGATTTGGCAGAGTCAATAAATGCAAAGCTCATAAAAGGTACAATACTGTTGATAAAACCATACACAGAGAAAATTAGCACCCAAAATTGGAGCTGTTTCTCTCAAGATCAAAAGAAAATAAAGAAATATGATATCGGCAGAATCCCAATTTTCACAAAATTCAATACTAGGGTCTTATTAAGTTGATCTAACAGATGGAAGGTCACTTTCCAATGACAAAAAAATTAATACATGATAAGACGCTCTCAGGTAATTCTTTTTCTAACCATACATAAAGAATATATAAATTTAAATACAACAATTGAAAATCCACCATATCTATTAATTAGGAATAGCAAGAGGAAAATGTTCAAAGAAGAAAAGTTGAGAAAACATTCTTCACTAAGATTTGAAAAATAATTCTTTTTGTACAGGGCATGCAATATTAAAGAAAATTTATCAAAAACCTGACAAAAAGAAAGAAACGTTAGTGCTGGATTTTTCACTGTAATATTTTGACGGGCATGAGTAAAGAAAACTGGGAAGAACAAAATGACACAGGATGGTTAAATGTCAAGCAATAGTATAAAACCTTTTAATCTACACTGAGTGAAGTAAAGAATAGAAGACGAAGAGAAAAACCCCCTTTGAAGGTTTGATGGAAGAGATGCCAGGCATCAAGCTTCAAGTGACCTTATCCTGGTAGAGTATAAAGATATACTTTATTAAAAAAGGATGTGCAGTTTACTCATGATAAATTCAGGAACAAGGACCCTCTAGCCAAATATAATAACAGGGGTTCAAGTATTAAGAAGAGAAACGAGGCACGGTACATACAGGTTACGCAATAATGCTTCTGACTGGTGCAAAAATCCCTGCAATTTGGAATTTACCTGAATATCACATCACACTCTCGCTGGCAGCTTAAAAGTAAACATAGCCCTCTCAATCTAAAAGATAACTTATAAATAAACCAAAAGCCATCTCTATTAACTGACAAATCCTATTGAACACAATCTTCTAGCCATCAAAATGCATTGAGAAGGCAGAACCTCAGAAAAGCATTTACTTCAACTTGACAAACTCCTTCCGTCCAATGATTAAGATATATGGCTTCCATACATCTTCACCAAGAAAAAGAAAATGATGGCAAAGACCTCAAAAATTTTATGACACATTGGTCAAAGGAAACCAGTCATACCTAGGGCAATCCGACTCTCTCATTTCCTTTGAAATTATCTTTAGTGTATCTTCAATCTCTTCCAAGTTCATGTGGCATTTTTCTCCAGCAAGAAACAAATGAACTCTGTCTTTAACAATAATCCAGCTGCAACCTGGACTCTTCCTTATCCCTTTTGATTTCTTAGCCATTCTTACCCGGTCCCCATCTTTCTTTTTTCCCATGATAGAATATAAGCTAGACAAGACCACATAAGGGGTCGCATTATCAGGCTGTAACTCAATAAGTTGTTGTGCTGCAAGCTTTGCAAGATCAAGACGTAAATGGGTTCTGCTAGCACCAAGAAGAGCCCCCCAGACCCCAGCATGTGGCTTAAAAGGCATTGAATAGATCAAATCAATAGCATCACTTGTAGATCAAATCAATAGCATCATCAAGTGATCCAGCTCGACCAAGGATATCAACCATGCATGCATAGTGGTCAGGCCCTGGTTCAATATTATATAAAGATTTCATGGATTTAAAATAGTTTAATCCTTCATCTACTAATCCTACATGTGCGCAAGCTGATAGAACACCAAGAAAGGTGACTTGATTTGGCTCTAGCCCTTCATTTTCCATCTTCCTAAACAAATAAAGAGCTTCATCCCCGAAGCCATTCTGTGCAAAGCCAGTAATCATTGCGTTAAAAGAAAAAATATTTGGTGCCTTGATATTTAAAAATATCCTATACGCATCAGTCAAACTCCCACACTTTGAATACATTGAAACTAAGGAATTTTGAATAGACAAAAAAAATTCCATATCCAGTTTTACCACATAACCATGAATCTGTGACCCTTGATTTAATGTCGCCAAACCAGCTGAAGCACTGAGGACAGCGCTGAAAGTCATCTCGTTTGGCCTTATTCCCTTTTGAAGCATCTCAATAAACCAGCGGAAAGCCTCCTCATACTCCCCATTATTAAGAAAACCTGAAATGACAGCAGTCCAAGCTATATGATCTTTCTGTGGCATCATTCTGAACAACTCAATGGATCTCTCAATATTCCCTTCGTTAGAAAATCCAGCAATCATAGTTGTCCAAGAAACTATATCCTTCCCTGGCATCATTTCAAAAAGTCTACAAGCTTCTTCAATTTCATCATTGTGAACATAACCTGCAATTAACGCATTCCAAGAAACCACATCTTTCTTATTCATTAAGCAAAACATTTTATTAGCTTCATGAACCATACCGAATCTACAATACATTGTAATAATAGAATTTCCTAGAAAGATATCAAAGTCAAATCCCAAGCGCAAAAATAACCCATGCATCTGCAGTCCCTCCCACTGTCGACAAAAACTACCACAAGCCTCAAACATTACAGTCAACGTAGTCGAATTGACCGCCACAACTCCTCTTCTCATACTCAAAAACAAGCCAAACCCATCTTCAAAACATTTAACTTTCATATATCCGTCAATCATTGTCGTCCAAGTAACCACATTTTTCTCCGGCATCATATCAAAAACTTCTCTAGCCTCAACAACCCTTCCCTCCTTACAATACCCATCAACAATTAAGCTCCAAGAAACCACATCTCTCACTACCATACCCTTAAAAACCTTAACTGCCTCTTCAAATCTTCCCGTCTTAAAATACCCACCAATCAAAGCATTTGAACAAACCGGGTCACGCAACTTAGCAGGCATATTAACATACAACATCTCCGCCTTATCAAACTTCCCACTCCGAACAAAACCCGTGACCATCGCCGCGTAAGACACCTCATTACGCTGTGGCATCCTCTCAAACAATTGATATGCTTTATCAACATCACAATTGTTCTTAATGTAAGCAGTGATCATCGCATTATACGAAGCGGTGTTTCTTTGAGGAATTTCATCGAACAGTTTCTCGGCCTTTTCAATTAGGCCATTCTGCCCGTACGCAGTGAGCATTGCAGTCCAGGAAACTGTACTTTTGCAGATCATGCGATTGAATATTGATTCAGCTTCTTTGATGTTTCCGTTTCTTCCATTTAAGGTTATCTGGGTGTTGCAGTTAATAATAAAGCTCTTCGTATTGGGGGCTTTTGGAGTCGAGAAATTTGAGTAGTGAAGTGAAGAGTTAAGGCGAGAGAAATGTTTACGTAGCATTGTAGCCGCTCGTTGTTTAAGCATATTTGAGAAGTTTTATATTAGGGTTTGCACTTCAAAGCGCCGTCGGTTTATGCGACTTAAGGTTGGAGATTTAAATTGGGCTGGCTTAATGCCAGCGGGCACAAGGAATGGGCCGAAAATACGGGCTCAACTAATTTAATTATTTTAGAACAAGAAATACTTATCTAATCAGTTTCATAACCAGCTATTTTATTGATATCATGTGTCATCTCATTTTGTAGTAAACTCATAAGTTTATTTTACATTCTTCTTTGGATGTATTAGTTAATCTCAAAAGTTTGAATCTCAGTCGGAGTTATTTTCAAGGTTCCATTCCTAGCGACAAACTTACAATACATTTATCTCAGTGGTCCGATACCCGACTTTATTATGAACACGAGTTCTTTAATAAAACTCCAACTTGGCGAAAATCAACAAAATGACCTTATTCCATTTCTGCCAGTTTATTTGCAGATTGCTTTTAATCTGAGAAGCAATCTCTTTGAAAGATCAATTCTAGACAGTTTTGCATAACCAAACATATCCTATGTTAACATAAGATGATAAGTTAGGGTATGTTGACTTTATAACATAAGATGATAGGTTCATTCAAAATACTTTGTCTTTTCTCGACAAATATGTACCATCCTCAGTACAGTTGAGTTAAAGCAAGAACACAGGAGATTACATATTATTAAGACATAGCAGCATCTCAAGCACAAGAAAACATAATCACATAAAGCATGGACCCAAACAGTTGCTTGGAGACCATTTCGTTGGCCAGAAACTATTAGATCATCCAACAAATGCTTACCCACAAATTCTGTCATCGTGAAAATTCTGATCACGTCTTCCCGTTTTTGATAGAATCTAGTTCCCTGATTGGGCTCAAGTAATTATCTATAATCACCAAGTTCCTTCTCCATTCTTCATCCCGCAAATCTTATTTATGGTCCTTGGACTTCTAGCCATTACTGAGTGATCATAAACAATGTTATATACTGTCAATCCACCTCAAATGCAGTAGCAATCCAATTTAGAATATTAACAAAATGGTTACTAACACATTATCCTTTTTGTTTGAAAATTTCAGTACATAATTTGGACAGTATGGAATTTTAGGGTTACATGTAATAGAGAAACAACATCAGTTAATTATCACTATTTTAAAAGTTGTCATTTCTCAACGAAAAATCCTACTTATAAAAAGATTACCCATATTCCATATAAGCTCAAATGAATTTTGATTAAAACAAACATATAATAAAAAAATAAAAAAAACAAATTAATTAGTAATACGAAAAGTACACCACATCAGGGACGAATTTAAGTCCCTCTAGAACAGCGGCAGCGGCGGCGGCAGTTGATTTTTTGGCCACATTTCCGGCGATCTTAGACCTGGTATCTTCATCATCTGGCAAGTGCCGGTAGAGCTTTTCGATTACAGCTTTGTCTGTGATATTTGAAACGGCTGTCAAATACAAGTCCTTGGCTAAGCTTAGATTTGGTGCGTTTCTGATGTTGAAGGAATGTAATCCAGAATCTCCATCTCCTTCTCCAGAACAAACTATGACACAGGTCGTTACAGTGGCAAAGTAGTCGTAGGACCACGAAATATGGTAAATTTCCTTTAGGTCCATTCAGATACCTAAAAATAGGATCTTTTTAACCAAAAGAGGCTGTTATAACCAAAATGACTACATTTTAACAAAGAAAATGATGCCGTTTATGTAGTAGTAAATGTTGTCGTTCTGATAAGAAACATGACGTCGTTTTCTAATAAGAAACATTGTCTTTTTCATTCAAAGAACGACATCGTTTTAGGTCACTAAACGACATCATTATACATTACAAAACGACAAGTCAGTTAGTAATCGGACTACAAGTCGTGCGTTTGATAAATTTCTTTTCGCTCCACAAAGTCTTGGTGAATATCATAAAAGCTGCTACTTTAAGGACTTCTTATGGATCTAATTAATATTTACAATCAAAAAATTTAAACGACAGCGTATCTTGTTTCCACAATAAACGAAGTCGTGTGATACAAAGGAAAACAATGTCGTTCTTTTCTATTAGACAACGTGTCGTCAATAATCAAACTACATCTTGTCCTTTTGGTAAATATTGTTCACCCCTCACCATGTTAGTAAATTTTTTTTTTTAAAAAAAAAACCCCTATTTTTAAGATTTCTCGTGGATCTAATTAATATTTACCATTACGTATTTAAGGGGATGCAAATGATGACGGATCACCTCCTTGAACAACGGTGTTTTGTCTCCCATATTAAAACAAGGTCGTTTTTGAGCAATCAAAACGACGCCTTTTGTATCCACGACATGTGAATTGAACTACATGTTGTCCTTTTGGTAAATATATGTTCAATACTCAGTGTGTTGGTAATTATACAAAGGCCCTATTTGTAGGATTTGTCATGGATCTACTTAATATTTACCATCAAGACCACGACGTGTTAGGTCGCCACCAGAACGATGGAGTTTGTTTCCATTTGAAGGATGTCATTGGTCATCGTGTATTACACCGAACGTCGTTTCTTTTCAAAATGTCGACTCATCTTATTATCAAACTCTTACTCCTGAGTCCTGTCTACAAGCATGACCCCAAACTATTCAATGATATATGGTTTTGGTTGATTGCTGTTATGCCTAAAAAATCAGGGTTGACACAGGCGTGCACCAGCGAGGACTAATCAGAGTTCAGGAAGACATTATGACGTCCAAGCGCTAGCACGTTGTCCAAGGACAGAAGAAGTAAGGCTGTCATCAATTTGGCAGGTAAAGGCTTGGTGAGTGAGTGAGTGGCTAGGAGTCACCCACCTGCTCAAGCCCTGTGTAATTTAAAGATATCTTCCGTACAACTGGCCAATGGGAAGCAAGGTAGAAACTGTACGACACCCGCTCGTTGGCAGACCCGTGATCATTACCTAGAAACCTCTTACTATAAATAAATAGCTCCCCTCTTATTTTTGGGGGATTCCAATCTTGATAATATAAACTCTCTCTTTCTCTCTCCCTCTCTATATCTCTGTTCTCTCTGATCGCTACATGCGACCTGATTGTAACCTTTCATAAATAAAAAGACAGTTGACATAGGATTCGCTTTGAGCATCCGAACCACTTTAAAAATCATCTCCCTTTTATTTGTTTCATTTTCCAATTCACATGTAATTTCTAAGTTTGCTTAGCGCTTTGTACGTGCGAATAGTTAGTGTTAAAATCGAGCATCAACAGTTTGATGCTAGAAGGAGGGCCTGATTTACTATCCGCTCTTCATCAAGAATCTCTGATCAATCGAGTCTGTTCGCTAGCAAATGACCCGTGGTTTCAAAACCGAGTGAGCTAGCTCCAACAACGAGGAGGTCCCTCGGGTACAAGATGACACTTCTCCCGAAGAGCCCCCGATTCAGCATAATACCGCGACGGACATCCCCTCAAGCTCATAACTTGACTCAGTTGTGATGGATTACCTGGAGAGGTTAAATAATACTCTCCAAATGGTTAATCGAAGGTTAGACCGTTTAGATCAGGTCGTACCACTAGAGTCTAACAAGCGGTGCCATTGCCAAAAATGCCTGTCAGTCGCACTAAAGCACAGAAATGGGCGAAGGCCCATGCCGCGTGCACTACAACGCGTAAAGACAAGGGAAAATAAGTGGCAGATAATAGGCCGAAGGGCTCTAAGGGACTAGCAAATACCGGTTGCAAAACAGGTAGAATACTTGTGGCGTTACGACTTGTTGACATGTCCCATCATGAACCGTCCCATACCACATCGCATGGGCAGCCCCACAAGAGTGCAAGCAGGGAAACCAGCAACTGCATGTCGGTTCTGACCACCACGAAGGTTGGGCTAACTTCCCGAACCTTTCATTGCCTTCACACGGCTCCAATCAACATGTTTCAAGATATGCTGGAGCCTTCAGCCAAGGCGAGAAAGAGTACGATCTACAGTCTTTCCTCAACCATAATCGTAAGGGTCGAACCCACGTTGCAAAAAGTTATTCTAACTATTTAGAAAGCCTGATATACGAGCATTCAATGGGAATTCTGATCCGCAGGATCACCTTTATGGGTTTAACGACCTCATGGAGCTTTACCAAGTTTCCAACTTGGCCAAATGTTGCTATTTGGCAGTGACCCTAACTGCCCACGCCAAGCGCTGGTTTAGATCGCTTCCACCAGGATCTATTAACTCATGACAACAGATGAGCTCGTTATTCTTGAGACACTTCCAAGCGAATAGGAAGTTCTCAATGTCGTTAAGCTATTTGAGCAACATACAGCAGAAAAAGAATGAATCCCTCCAGTCCTACATTGACAGGTTCCACAGGGAGCTGCACAAGGTGGCTAACACACTTGAATAATCTATTCGGATTCTCATTATTGTGGGAGTTCGCCCGCAGACCGACCTGTGGAAGAAGCTACAATTCGAGGACAACATTTCCCTTACCCACTTCTACGACCTTATAGAGAAGTACCTCCGAATAGAGAATTCCATGGCCGCTCTCAATCACCACAACCTCGATCATTCGACCAGTGTTCCTAACCAGGTGAAGGGTAGTAAAAAAGCTGATCGCAGGTGGGCTAATAACGATCAGTGAAAGGGAAAGAAGCAGTGGTTTGAGCCCAAGAAATCCTATGCCCAGGTTCCTCGTCGCGATCATGACAAGAATCAGTGTACTCTTTTGAACACGTCAGTATCGGCTGTTCTAGACAAGTTAGAAGAGGTCAGCCTGCTCGGAGAGCTGATGCCCATGAACAATCCCCCTTCAGTAAGAAACATGAAGAAATATTGCCATTATCATCAGGATAATGGGCACCACACTGATAAGTGTCGGGCTCTCAAGCAAGCAATTGAAGATCACATCAAGCAGGGACATTTCAAGGAGTATGTTGATGGTCCGACTCCCGTTTGAGAGAAAGATAAAGAGGAACATGGGAAGAAACACCGTGGTCATAAGAGTCTCTACTTCATGGGGATCATCTTTGGAGGACTACACCTCGCGG